TATATGTGTTAAGGATATTATAATAGCTATGTCATATGAGTGAAGTACTTCATAGTAAAGATGGAAAATGTTTAGCTTTAGTAGACATTGCCTCAAAGCAATGAGGGTATAATTTGTGACATTTTAAGATACCTGAAAGATGGATAGAAATGGTGCTACATGTGACCAAATAAAACATACAAAGTATATATGGATGGATTTATATTATATACAAATATGGCTGCACAGGTTGGGTAATAATACTAATAATATACATAAAGTGCACAGGGCCTGACAAAATTAACATTCAATAAGTAAAATTTATTGCTTCTTTGTTTTCATTAGGTATCTAGGCCTTAGCTGGGTTTTCTCTGAACCTGAGTTATTATGAAGTTAAACAAGGGTGTAATCCATTAACAAGACAAACGTTATCAGAGAAGAGTATTTCCCAGCACCACCCTTTAACAGGACCTGTGCCTGGGCTCTGCTAGAAACCCCTGGATCCTCAAGGTTTCTGCTCTCTTCTTCTCAGCCCTTCTCCTTGTCTGATTATGTCCTCCAGTCATTCCTTAAGTTGAGGTGTTCCCAGAGGTCTGCTTTTGCTTGGTCTTCTTGTTCTACATGCTCTTTCTGGTTGATCTGTTTCACATTCCTTCAGTCCAACCACCGTCTCTAAGCTGATGACTCCCTTAGATATTTCCAGTCCTAACCTCTTTCCCAACCACCACACCAGTCCTACAGATATCTGCAAAATCTGTAGGATTTTGCAATCAGCAACTCCAAACTAAACTCATATTCCGTTGGTGATTAGATCTTATGATTCAGAACTCAGAAGTATGTATCAAAAATGTCCTTCCTCTCTACCACCAATGCTGGAGCTTTGAACTTCATTATCTCTCACCCAGATTATTATAAAGGAATAACTGCACTACTCTCTTCCTTTTAAATCTACCCTTAGTAATACCTTTGTGCAACTTTCCTATTTAAAATCCTCTATGGAGTCACTTATGCCAGAACGACAATGCCCAAACTCTTTGGCATGGCATAGGAGGCCTGTCACTACCCTAAAAACCCACCTTTCCCTGAACTCCCCAAGCTCTGTGACATCTCAAGACCTTAGAACATGCTGCTCCTCCCAGCTGAAATTCTTTAAGAGCTACCTGATTTCTACACAAGCAATGAAGAGTCTCCAGACTCCCCCAAGCATGGCCAGTTGCTCCTCCCACAAGCCTTCCAGAATTCCTTTCTTATAGGATATACATGATTGTACTGTAATTATCTGCTTTTGCATCTATTTCCTGAACTAGGTGCTGGGTGATAACAGTAGACATCAGGGCCCCCCTATTCCTTATTCCTCTCATAATACCAGAGCCTGATAGGATGCCTGGCACATAGTGACCACTCAAGAATGAGGAAGAATTAGCAAGGGACTCTTGAAGACAGACCTCGGAATCCTCAGAGATCCACACAGCACTTCTGTTCTCACTCCCTAAGCTCCAGGCACAGTGTATCCTTCTTTAGATAGCTGTGTTCTATCCAGGCACTCACACTTGGTCTCCACCTCTCTGCAGACAACACCTCTCCGAGCTTCTGGGTCTGAGTGGGCGCCTCTTCCCTGGTCTCCCATAACAACCAGTTCATCAATCCATGATTTACATATTGCTTGGTAATTTTCACTTTTTTGCTTAATTTTTCTCTCACTTCTCCAGCCCCCTCCTCCCCTAGACAAAGCTGCTTAAATGAAAGGACTTTTGTTCGCGTCCTTTCATTGCATTATCCATTACCTTACACCAGTGATTCTCAAACTTTGGTGGGTATTGGAATCCCTTGGAGAACTTTGTAACAATATGAAGACCCAGGTCCTGTCCTACTTCAACCAGCCTGGACCTCTGTGAGTTTTATCAACTCTCCAGGTGACTCCAATACCCACCACAATTTGAGAACCATTGATCTATACTGTGCCAACTCATAGATTCTCACTAAATATTAATATGTGGTCAACGCATGAATAGACAAATGAACAAACAGCCTCCTCAAACTGTCTAAACTTCCAAAGGGTCTAAAGCCATCAATGAATTAAATTATTGGTTCTTACTGTGTAGTCTCCAGATCAGTAACATCAGTATCACCTGGGAAATGCAAATTTGGGTTTTCCTCTCAGATCTACAGAATCAGAAAATCTGATTTGGGGATCCCAATAATCTTCATTTTATAAAACACTCCAGGTGATTCTGATACACATTAAAGTTTGAGAGTTACTGAGTTAAACGGAGGACTTATGTTTGCTTTCCAGGAAATTGGCCTCTGCTAGCCCCTCCTCTTCCTCTCCCATATTCACCCTAGCTGGCTCACACTTGCTCTTGTTCCCTCTCTGTGTGAACAGCTGTGAATCAGACATTCACAGTGGCCACGAGGCTGGGTCTGAAATTTGAAACAGAGATCCAAGAATGCTAATCATCCCCCTAGCCCCACGTACCACATTACATCTCCTTTCTCAGGGGACTGAGGAGGGCCATGCTGCCAATGAGTCACTTCCTCAAAGCCACATAGAGCTGGCTCCCAGCCTGCAGCCATCTCCCCTTACACCTCAAGACTTTTGTAGATCCCACCCAGCGATCCAGAAGAAATGCACAAACAAAACTGGCCAGAGTAGAGAGACCTCTCTCCACTTTGACCTGCATTCTGAACAGGCCTTTCTCACATCTCTGATGAGAGGTGATATATCCTCATCCCACGCCAGCACAAGCATCTCCCATGCTTATATGAGACCAGCCTTGGCAGAAGGGCAATTGGAAAGCCAGTCTAGAGAGGCAAGAGCTGACAGGAGGCTCCCCAGAGATGGCCCTAATCTATCCATATCAACAACAGACAGCCACTCCTGTGGTTGTGAGCTTTGCTGAGTTTATGACAAGGAGAGATCCTCAGAAACATTTCACAGTAGGCAATGAACATTTCAGGCTCCTCATTTTTGGCCAATACTTAGAAGCAGCAAGACACCGGAGGGACAATTGAAGGTTGTTCAGTTTGCTTTCATCTCTAAAACAGCTTTGCTTCTAGTAACATCTGGACCCTACAGACTGGTTTTAGGGGCAGAAAACATAGTTTTGTGAATGTCAATGTGATGTCCATTCATCACTATCCAGTTATACTGGGGCTGGTTCCATCAGTAAATATTTGCTGGAGTTTTGCTCTGTCAAGGCATTGTTCTGAAAGCTGCAGAGAAACAAAGATGAATCAAATTGTATTGAAATAACTGTCACATCACTCTTTTCCGGGAGTCTAACTTGCCTCAATGGAAGAAAACAGAAACAATTGATTGGTACTTTAAAATGATTTTACTTCCTTCCTGCAGGTCAGTGATAATGAACTTCAGCCTCTTGCCATTCTTTTAGTATTGTTATGTCCTAGAGCTAACATATTCCCACATAGCAAAGCTTTTCCCACAGATTTAATTCTTCCAGGGCTGTAGAGGCATTTGCTTTACATTGTTGAGAAGTCGCTGCCTAGCTGTGTCCAAATTGTTATGTTTTCTTTAACGGGCTTTCAAATGTTCTAAAATCTAACAGGCTTGATGGCTTTGAGAAGGCCAGAAGAAACCAAATTCAAACAACATTCTGAGAGTTAATTGGCTAGTTTATGAATAATCTTCAGTTTCATAAGATTAAATTAACATAAATGAAATTGTATGCAAAGCATCTCGTACAGAAATTGTGATCATGAACTTCAAGGGGAACAGGGTACAAGTGACTTAGACACCCTGTGACACTGATTTTTTTCTTCTTTCTATATGTCATGAAAGTATGAGTGGTTGAAAAAAGCCTTAATGCTAAATTATAACAAAAATCAGGCTCTGGACGATGGTGCTATAGTGCTCTAGAGATGACTGGGGGAGCTGGAGAAGTAAACTTGCCCCTCTCTGTTAAAAGATAAATTGTTTTTAAAAATGTGACTCTCCTTAGAGGCACCCTAAATTCCTCACTGGAAGAGGATGGAGCCAGGCAGACAGAAGGGAGGTCATCTGGCCCTTTTGAGGAGGCAATCAGTGGTCTGCTGGTAAATGTTTAACCAGCAGCTTGTGGCTGAACCCTGACTTGCAGCGTTTGCCAATTTCTGTGGTGTAAATACCCCTACCACAGTAACCAATTTCATGCTATCAATGTGATGCCCCTGAAGGCTCTCACCAGCCCTCGGAGCTTCCCCAGCGCACCACTGGATGAGGTATGGTGCTTAAGAGCACACATTCTGGAGGCAACGCCTGGGATTCAGGGCCCAACTCCACCACTTAATAGCTGTGGCACCTCAAGGAGAGTTACTGATTCTCTCGGGGCTTCAGATTCCTTTCTGAAAAGTGGGTCTATCCTAGAATTATTGTGATGAACGAATGAGATGATACATATAAAGTACTTAAAAACAGCATGCGGCAAATGATCAGGAACCATTACCTGTTCAGGGTGCTGTTATTATTGTTGTTGTTGTTCTTATTATTTCTGTAACCTAAGTGGAAGTATGATTATGGCTTTTCTTATTGCAAAAAAGTCAGAGTAAGTATTCCAAAAACAACTGATTTTTGCAGCAATAGAAACAGCATTTAACTTGTACCTAAGTAAGTGGTGCATTCTCAGTAGTGTATCTTGTTCTCTATAGTTAACACTTAAAACTCACCTATAGAAAGAGCTGTAGTTTTACTCAAAATGTTAAGCAATGGGGTATGGGCAGGAATTCTGATTTTTCTCTGTTTTCTGTTCCTGGGAAGAAGCCTAGCTGTGGCCTGTGCACCTAGGCATTCACTCATTGAGTACTAGCATGGCCAGCCTGAGCCTACCAGACACCTGAAGGACAGTGCAGTGCCCACAAGAGTACACAGCCTCTCTGAAGTTAGCCAAACAGAGGAGATAGTGATGGTTGGATTCTTAAGTGTCATGCAAATTCCACCTTAGCCCTTTGACTGACACCAAACTTTCTGTTCATTGATCCCCTGATATAACATTGCTCATCCCATGCTATTTCCTCTTTCCTCCAAGACTTCAGATCTCGTGGAAGTTCCTGAGGAAGCTGATGGGCCAGGAGGCGAGTGTGACCTGAGGAAACGCAGCAACAGCGGTGAGTGAGGGAGCTGACCCAGCACAAACGTGAATCGCTTGAGTCAGGGTCAGGGGGCAGCTGAAGTCGATATCCCATGCCCAGTATTTCTCTGCTAGTTCATGGATTCGGTCAGGGCAAGTGTTCAATATTCTGGAGGGAAACTGAGTGTGGTTTCTGGTTGATTTCTGTGACTCGAACATTTCCCTGAGTTCTGTCTCCTGAGTTCTCATACCTTATGGACTTAGCTATATGAGGATTTAGGAGTCACTTTCAGACCTTTTTGTGAATGCATCATTTTCTCCAGTGACCTAAATTACATCAGTAAACCATATCACAGAAACACTAGTTCATGCTATACCTGAGGTGCCTGACACCAAACGACAGTGCGGCCAGCGAGGGGAGCATGGGCCTCGTACTTGGCTCCTTCCCTGGCAGACACAACTCAGACCCTCAAAACTGTACAGTCCAGTCAAACATTCTTTATTAATGTTACTTATTCATCTAATAGCTTAAGCCTTTGTTTCAATAATTTCTAAAACATTTATTACATGCTAACCACACAGTATTGCTTGCTAACATTAAGAAAGAACCACCCTATAACCCAGAGTGTAAAGACACACGAGCAGACCCTTCGGGATACATCCTGCTGAGCATTTTTGACATCAGTAACTATTAAACCTTTACTCATTTATCAAAACATATTTATGAAGCATTTACTATCATCAGCAAAAGTACATCCATCACAGTCTAGCAAGGTGCAGGTCCTGACCTGCGTTGTTGACTCGGGCTGAATGCATGCTCATGGCAGAAGTGATCCCTCCACGCTCCAATCCCAGCCTCTGCCTTTTCCAGCCTGGATGCAGAAATTCTGCATTCAATGCTGCTTGTCACTGCAGCAGCAGCAGCTGTCTTGCAGCGTATCACTTCCACTTCCTTCCTTCTGGGAATTCATTTATGTCTCTTTGCACATTAGAACTGTGCCTGTGTGATTCCCACAGGCACCATGTGCTTAGTGGCCTGGTGACTCTCCTTCCTAAATAAGCATCAGCTCTCACCATACCACCACAGCCCCCCTTGCCAAGCCCACACGCACCTGCTAATGCTCACCATCAGGGTAAGGATTCTTTGGCATCACATGGCAAAACTATACTTTTAGATCAATGCAAATAGTCGTTGAGCACTTAGCAGTGCCATTAGAGAGACACATTAGAAGAAGATGTTGGCTTCAAGGGGAACCTCACGGCAGGGCAGCAAAGCAGCAGGGCTGTCCCAGCCAGGTCTGTCTGGCATTGCAGGACCAGCAACAGAATCTAAACAGCAGTCCCAGGGTTCTTCAACATCTGAGGCACTAACTCATCAGAGACCCCTATATAAATCAGGTTTGGAAGTTAATTCTTCAAGTCTGGTAAGCTGCTCAGTCCTGAGTCTGACTTCCAACCTGATATTTCTCCCACCAACATCCCTGATGGCCTCCTCATCACTAACTGCACTGGAAGCTTTTGGTCTATGGCCCATCCTTGCTCTGGAGACAGACTGCCAGACTTCACTTAATGATCGTATGACCTTGAAGCAATGACCTATCCTCTCTCTGCTTTAATCACCTCATCTCTGAAATGCAGATAATAATAACACCAAATCAATAGGGTTGTTACGATCTTTATGTGAGATAGCAAATATACACACTATTCATATATTGATGACACCCAAAATTCATCTCCAGCATTAGGCTTCTTTGCTGTCTCCAGATGCCTATAGCCTAGGGGACATTGCCCTCTGAATGGGGAATAGGAACCTTAAAGTTAATACACCCAGCTTTACTCTTGATCCCTTCACCCACCCACCCATCCAAACTGGCTCTTCCCACAATTATCTCTGCTCAGTCAATAGGAGCTCCATTCAACCAGTTGATTAGGCCAAAGTTTTTGGTGTCAGCCTCGACCCCCGCTTCCTCTCACTCCTCATATCCAATCAGGCAGGAAATTCTATCTGCTGCTTCTCGGAATTATGCCCAGCAGGTGCCACTGCTAACTCTCTGCCTCAGCCATCTGGTCCAGCTCTGCTGATGCTGGAATTGGCTCACCAATTACTTTAGCAGCTAAGGCCTCCATTTACCCTGGGGATCTCTTCTCTCAAAAGATGATCCTGATAGATTTTATAATGTGAAGAGCTGTATTTAGGAATCATCAATATGCAGCATGGTTGCTATTAACAAAGCCATCATAAAGTCATAAAGTATCAGAGATGCAGGTAGAGACTCATTACTCCAACTGTGACCCATCCAACCAGCATCCCCGGCACCATGTGAAAGCCTGTTAGAAAGGCAGAATTTCAGGCTGCCTCAGACCTGCTGAATCAGAGTCTGCATATGAATCTGTGGTTCATGTGGCCATTAACGTTTGAGAAGTAGGATTTGAGGTTATTCAGTCCAATTCCCTCCCTCCAATACACACACACACACACACACACACACACACACACACACATACACATACACACACTACAACACATACCACGTAGACAAGGAAACTAAGTCTCAGAGTAATATACTACACACAAAGACACAAAGTTGATTATTTTCCATCTCTTCTATGGTAAGGGGCATTTTCACAGCCTCATTCAAAGAGATCTGTTGAAAGAACCTAGCAAGCAATAAACTTCCAAAAAGCTTTGGAGATCTATTAGCAATTCTTCTGATCAGCAATAGCTTTCTTCACAATGCGCCCTTAGAAGCTAGGGAGATAGATTAATTATGCAGCAGTTTGCCTCAAAACATCTTCCTTCGATTGGTTTTAATCCCGTCCATGCAGTTTGAGAAACAACATAGAGAAAACACCCGACATGTGGTTCAGGTTCCCACTGGTCTCAATCATGGCAAGGAGGGTGTTGGCTTTTCAGAATCAGTGTTTGGGAGGCCAGTCTCAACCAGTTCTGCATTACATGTTCCATTTATGTCCTAAAAGTAAATGTAGTGCACACAGGTGTTATTTCTTCTAGCCAGGTGTTATGTCAAATTCCCTGATGAATATTTCCAAAGCCACCTTAGAAAAAGGGTGCAATTAATTTCTCTACTACTAAAAGTACAGTCTCTGCTTTCTCTCATATAAATGACCTTGGCAGGTCTCAGTGTTTCTGGTTGTTGTTTTCAACACTATTCCTGGATGCATCATGAATATAGATGGGGAGAATTGTTGGCCTTCACCTTTGGCTTAACTGCTAGAAACTTCATTCATAACAAAGTAATGAGCAAAGTGAGAAGTAAAATTCTGGGCTTCCCATTTCAGCTTGAAATGTCATAGAACAACATTACTGGCTGCTTTTAATAATTGCATTTCAGAACAACTGTATGTGATCATAATTTTCCTGGAAGAGAAACAGAGAGAACAGGACACAAGCAATACAAATTCCTTGAGATTGTCTTCAAAAAGGACTGGGTTAGTCACATCCACTTGAGGATATTACAAAATCCGATATTACCAAATCCGATATTACCTCACTTTGCACCAAAGCAAAGAAATTATGTTCAGAAAGAAAAAAAGGCAAGCTCTGATTTAGAAAATTCATCCTTGCCTGCGGAATGCACTGATTCTGTATCTCAAATTTTAAGGTGTCACAAAAAAAAGCAGGGTTTTTTTTTTAATAATTAAAAAATATTTGTTATGTTAAATGGAACAAGCAATCTTCAGCCTTCTTGGAAATTGAATATTTTACTTTAAAAAGCCCCTAATTTTAAAGCTTTGGCCAAGTTATAGTTTATTTGGAGATACATATATGTGCATATATATACACACACACATAAAAGGGAAGTTAATGAATTATTTTATTTTATTTTTTTGCTCATAACTAAGTTATCCCCATCTACTGTACTAGTAAAATAAAATTCAAATACTTAATTAGCCTACCCTTATCATGTATATGTTGCAATTAAATAAAGTGAAACATTTTAAATGTAAACTCAAGAAAGCAGAGTTTTTTTAATGGCTAAGTTGGCAAATGTCCCTGGATTTTGTACCCCTCCAATGGACAATTTCTAAATTACAAATGCAAGTTATTTATGGTATGTTTTTACAACACACATTTTGTATCAAGACCAGGTAAAGATTTCTTGGAAAACATAAAAGATTCCCTTTCTAGCAATGTGGAAAGCTGGATGGTCAGAGAAATTTTTCCTAGTTTAGCATTCCTAAAACTGTTGAGAATGAATTTTTTTTTAATTTCTAGTAATGCATGACTGAGCTGGCAGCAAAATAAGTAAATTCCTTAGAGTATAGAAATGACAATAAAACATGAATCCAGAGACATAAACAGGTAAAGGCTAATGTTTCCTCTGCATTTCCCTGGGCCTCAGCTTGGGCAATAATAGACCCCATGTACGAATACTAGAGGACAAAACCTGGGGAGTGGGCAAGGTACTAGGTAACATGAGAGGCCCTTTGGAAAAATGCTAATACCCCAAAAGGCACCCTTAGTGTCACTAGAAAAAGATGATGCCCTATAGAGAAATATGCTATATCAGCCTTAATTTAGGTAGAAAAGAAAAGAAACAAGAAGAGTGGGGAGGAGAGAGAAAGAGAGACGGAGGGAGGGAATGTAGGAAGGAGGAAAGAAGAAAAGAGAGTCTTCTTACTTGGGTTTACGGCCTGAATTCATGCTACCTGTATGGGCAAAGTAAAAAATATGAAATTTTAGTTTAATTTAAAGTTGCCAGGTGTGATAAGATCACCAGGCATTAGGCAGAAGAAAATGTAAAGCCTCTCTGGAGGAAGAGAATTTTAACCCAGATCTTAAAAACTTCCCACAAATGAACTTTCAAAGAACATGAGCTAACAATCGAAATTTACCAAACACATGAGAAAATGAGCCATCATGAGTAGGAGCTAGCACAAACAACCAACTTCATGATCAGACTCTCAGAGACTGTGTATTTTGAAATTATAGAATAAAGAAATATATAACTATTATAGTTGTATGTATTTAAAATATAAAAAATGGACTAGAAAATATAACAGAAGAATAAGAGACTGTCAAAAGTAAACAGGCAAATTTGAAGAAAAACCAAATAGAACTTCTAGAATTTTTTTTTTTAAAAAGTAGAAATTTGACTGTTGGGTTTAATAGCATATTAGACATAACTGAAGGGAGAATCCGTTCCCTAAAATATAGAGCCAAAGAAATTGCAGAGAGTAGCCAGGGAGACCAAGCAGTGGAATTCACGATAGTAAAAGAGACATGGAAAGTAAGTGAGAAAGTCTAACATGCATCTAATTGACATTTTAGAAGAACATAAAGAGAGAATCAGAGAGAGACAATATTCAAGAAGACACTGGCTGAGAATTTTCCAGAACTGATTAAAGATACCATTCCTCAAATTTAGAAATCTATACCTGGACACATCTTAGTGGAACTACAGAATTTCAAAGACAAAAGAAGCCATTAAATGCATGAAAAGACAAATTACCTGGAAAGGAATGAAAATTAGACTGACAGTTACTTCTTACAAATTACAATAGAAGCTAAATAAGAGTAGAATGATACCTTATGTATGCTAAAAGAAAAGTGACTGTTAACCTAGAATTGTAAATGAAGCAAACTATCTTTCAAGAATATGTTTTCGGGCAAAAATCGTATCTACAGTGCAATTAAGAAAGACCTATGCTCAAAAATTATAAAAAGATGTACTTCAAACAGGAAAATGTGACCTCAACAGAAAGACTGAGAAGAAGAAATAAAGAACAAAGAAAGTGGTAAACATGTGGTTAAATCTAAGCAAACATTGGCTACATAAAAAAATAATATTTACTAAGAGTTGTTAATAAAATATTAAAATACTGATATTTAAGTGGGAAATGGGGATTCAAAGATTCTTCTATTATTTGAAAGGAGATTAAATATATTATTTCACTTTAGATTTTGTTAAAATATGCCTCGTAAATTTCTAGGACAACCACAGAAAGAATAAAAAATAGATTAAACCTTTCAAATCAGAAAGGGAACAAAATTAAATGATGAGGAGAAAAAAAGCCAATCAATTGAAAATAAAAAAAGGAAAGTTGGGAATAATAGAAAAAGTATAGAAAATTTGGCACAAATAGAAAGTACAAAATAAAACGTTAGGAAGGAATCCCAACTTATCAGTAAATAAAATCAATGTAAACCAACTAAATCCTAGATAAAAGATAAAGTTTGTCAAACTGGATTTTAAAAATGATCTATATGCTCTTTATAACTATCTAAAACATAAAGATATAGAAAGTAGAAAAGCAAAGGAGTTATTTTTTAAAGTTACCACAAGGGGGAAAAAAAGGAAAACATAGGCAAAATTAAGAACTTTTCCAGTGTAGAAATAAAGGGAAAACCACAGGCACATATTAAGCAAAAGAAAAATCATTTGGCTATATTAATATGCAAAAAATGAACTTTAAGACCAAAAATGCATTAGTAGAGATAAAAAGTATGGTCATGTCCACTTCATCAGAAGATATAAATTATAAACTTGCATGTATCTAATACATAGACTGAAAAATGATAAAAACTCAAGGAGAAATTGACCAAATTATTAGGAAAATTGTCTTTCCCCTTCATAGTGAGGGATTGTAAAATGCCTTTGTCAGTGGCAAATCAGATAGACAAAAGGGTTCAGTATAGATACAGAGGATTTGATAACACATTTGACAATCCTAATCTAATTGACTAAAAAGGACACTTTATCTAACAAGTGGAGGATTCACATTTTTTGAGAACACATGGAATAATTTAAAACATTGATCACTTAGCAGACTATAAAGCAAGCTTCGTGAATTTCAAATAATTAATATTTTATAGAAAATACCTTTCTGACCACAGGGCAAATAAGATAGAAATCAATAGTCAAAAGATAACTAGGAAAACCAATAATTTGGGAAATTAAAACAGTTTTTAAAAGCTCATGTGTTAAAGGGAATTTATAATGAAGATCGGAATATATTTAAAACTAAGTAATAATGAAAACAACACTTATCAAAACTTGTCAGATAGGTCTATACTTGCAATTAGAGCATTTAGCTTTAAAATGATACTATTAAAAAAAATTCTGAAAAGTAATAATTTAAGAACCACACTTAAGAACTCAGAAAATAGAATAAATCCAAAGAAAGCAAGGAAAGACAATAATAAATACAAGAGCAGAAATTATTAAATTATAAATATAAATCAATAAATCTTGAGTGATTTTTTAAATAAAATTTACAATCTCTAAGAGATTTTTTAAGATAAAAGAGAAAGATGAAACAAAAAATAATACAAAAAAGGGGAACATAAACAGAGATTGAAAAGAAAATAAAAGAATTTAATAACCAACTTAATGCCAATAAATTTTTAAACTTTTAAAAATGGACAGATATCAAGAAAGATATCAATGTCTAAAGCCTGACTCAAGAAAAAATAGAAATAGAAAACTTGAATGTGCTTGGAACCCTTATAGAATCTGAATCAATATTTTAAATTTTGCCCAATGAAAATACCAGTCCTGAACAACTTTATAAGTAAATTCTACCAAACATTTAAGGAATAGAAAATTTCCAGATTACATAAGCTCTTTCAGAGAAACAACAACTAGCAAGGAGGAAGGGCAGCAGCATTCTCTAACTTGGTTTATGAGGCTAGTATAATACCAACTTCAAAACCAAACAAGGACAATGTGAGAGAGGAAAATCACTGGCCAGTTTCTCTTTTGAATATATTAATAGATGCAGAAGCCTGAAATGAAATCTTAGTAAACTGAATCCACAATGTATTTTAAAACATATTGCATAATTACCAAATTGAACTTACTCCAGTGACACAAATTTGGGTCAATGTCAGATAATCCAGTAATGTAACTTGCTGCATTGCAGGTCAAAAAAGACAAATCAAGTAATCATCTCACTAAACAATAATGGTAGACATAGGCCCTGCAGGTCTGCAAAGTAAAAAAAGACAGATAACATATGAGAAAGGAAAAGAAGAAACTTCTTTGGGGATGTGGTAAAAACTATAGATTCATTTTGCTTCTGTAACATTAGAAAATATGCCTGCGTGATGGACATACTCTTTGAATACTTGTCATGGTGATATAAACAACCAAATTATTTTTAATAAAAGAATTTAAAGCACTAAAAATAAAAGGTATATTATATATTTTTAGTAAAATAATTACCTTTCTTTTCGCATCTTCTCTTAAATCAAAGTCTTAGCAATGGCCAGAAGGAATAGGTTTTAAAATCATTTTTGCAACCTTCCATTTCTACTTGCAACCATATATCTGAAAACACATTTGGGGTCACTTCAAATAATTTTCAGCATAGTTCACAAAAATGGTGCCATTTTGAACTAGATGTCCAAATGATAGATATTCAATAAAAAGCTAAAATAATGTGAAATTATTAATACAAAATTGTAAAATCTGTCCAAACTGAATGTTGCATATGCACTTTATATATCTCCCATTTTTTATCCCAGATCAAGAATTTTCTAGGAAGATTCTTTTTGCATGTTTCCATGCACATATTCAATATTCTTTTAAAGTATCCAGTTTTATACTTACAAAATCAAGTGTTTACATCAGGGTTTCAAATAATCACACAATAGCAGAAAAAGATTTTGCTAATCTCTACTCTTTTACACTGGTAAACATCAAATTGAGTGGCCAAATATTGAGGCAGACAAGACCCATAGAATCGGGCCTTTGTTTTCCAGTTACTACAGCCTAGAACTCCACCGACGACTGCATATTGGCTTCCTACAGATAATGATATTGCATCCATAAACTGCAGAACTACAAACTGAGAATGGATATTTTAATAAGCATCAGTACATTTATAACGGCTCTTGTTTTGAAGCATGTTTTCTACATCTACAGTTGTCGAGTCTATTTTAAGAACAGTGGAGAGTGTCACTGCACTAATGAAGTAGGTTATAGAGCTTTCTGTGGTGTTTCCCTCCCTCTGCTGATATTTCCTTGATAATCTGAAGGGAAATCAAAGGGAAGAATAAAGCAGCAATGTGTTATTTTAAAATGTCAAGTCATCTAAATGGTAGATTAATTTAGACACCACAGCTTTGAACCATTTGCCACATTTTTGTCTAAGGAAGATACATGTGATAAGAATGGTAAGGCTATGATGTTAGTCGCTGGGGTAGGTTAAGCAGATCAAACTAGCTAAGGTAGAGGCTCCAGTGTCCATCAGGGACCTCCCACAGCCGTGTATGAGGACAGTTAAAACTCCTGCCCATTCTGAGAAGGCTTGTTCTGTATCAAAGGCCACAGATTAGCTGCTTACATACAAAAGAAAGAGAATTATATATGCCAAGAATACACTGAAAGAAAAATCAAATAATAGCCCCAATGCATTGATAATAGAAATCAAGGAAATATTTTGAAGTTTAAGACTAAAGCTTTAATCTGCAAAATAGAATCTAGGTATCATCAAGAAACCAGAATCAAGATATCGAATATATAATAGATGAAAGAATCTGATATTTAGAAAAGGCAGTTCAAATACAACTAAATTGGACTATACCTCACCCACCATCCCTTTAGTTTGATGCATTCAACAAAGATGAATGACATGGTTTTCTGCTCCCGAGAAGAACACTGCCAAATGAGACCAAATTTTGAACACAAAATTGCCAAGTAATGCAAGGGGATACGTGCTAGCCAGGCGTGCGCGAAGGCTGTGGGAGTGCAGGGAAGGTGGTGCGGAACGCTGTGTGGGGAGGCAGGGGAAGGGCCACGTAGAAGAGGACCTGAAAGCCTGGTCACTAAGGATGAGGAAAAGCTAATGAGTAGTTAGGTAGAAGTTACAGAACGTGGAATAAATAAAGCCATCTTTCAGGCACATGTCCCAAAAATGGTGACTGGATTCATAAAGCACCTGCTTTCTCTTGTCTCTTTCAGTGTTTACGTATCCAGAAAATGGCACTGACGATTTCAGAGACCAAGCAAAGAACATAAACCACCAGGTATTTATGGATGTCAGAGAAGACAACTCAGGAGTCCTTCGATCAAACTGCAGGTCACCACCCAAGTGGGCCATGAAATCAGTTTAGTGGGTCCCAGACCAGCACTTTTAGAAAATAGAATAGAATAATGTAGCATAACATTCCACAACATAGATATCATGGAATAAACAGAAATATCACAGTGCATAAAAGGTAAAAAGGGTACGTATTGTATTATGCACCTTTTGTTTCTGTTACAAATAATATGCAAGTAGATAGGTACTATATAATGTGTAAATCAGAGAATTATATAATATATTATGACCATATTTTATAGTAAATATATATTATATTTTATATGTTCATTTATATATATAATTAGAATAGAATAGAATAAAATAAAATGGTATAACCTATTTGAGCATTGAATAGTAGAGTGAATCATAGGTTAAAAGGATACATACAGTTGTGTGCAACTTTTAAGTTTTCTATACATATGTATCATATATTTATTGTATTATTACATATTTATATGTATTATGCAATTATACATTACATGATACATAATTTTAACTTATTTATTATAAAGTATAAATGTTTTATTTATTTGGTTAGTAATAATAGCTAATATTTATATTACATTCACGAAAGTCTTTTATAGTCTGTAAACTGGGGACAACAATAGAATCTATCCGACAAGGTTGTTGTGAAATTCAGGATGCTAATGTATGTAATATAATGCCGGGTACATAGTAAACTGTCAAAAATGGTAGCTTTTATTATCACTATTGTAAGATTTCATAGCCAGTAGATATAACTAAATCAGTCTGATGCAAAGTCTATGCTTTTTCCTTAACATAAATGAATTATTAATAATTGCCAGATGAATACACCTGGTACACTTTGATATGCTAGATACCAACTTTTAGGCTAATTGATAAAATGTTAATTTTAGGAAGTGAGAGTTGTTTACAGCTATTTACGTGTCCCTATTTCTTTAGAGAGAATATTCCCATTCCTGGGGCCAAACCTGTATTAAATTTCATGAACAATAACATCAAAGAAAATATATTTGAAGAAACCTTACAGTATTTCTGACAAAGAGCTCCAAATAATTATTTCCAAATGGTTTGTAGTAAAATCAAACTAAGTTGAGAAATTAAAAATAAACCTAAGTTTGAAAGGAAATCTTTAATAAGAGACATTTTAACACTTAAGATGCATACACTGAAATTATGTTGCAGTAACGCCTCCATTTCCTATTTTCTTTCTTTTCTCAAATTCTTCCTCCTTCCTTTTCTCATTTTTTTTTTTAATTTTCTTTTTAGGGACCTCTTTCCAAAGACCCATTACAGATGAACACCTACGTTGCCTTGTACAAATTTGTACCACAGGAGAATGAAGATTTGGAAATGAGGTAAAAACATTAAAAAAAAAAAAAGAATGAAAAAAATTCAAAGTCAATATTTTTCCATGTGAAAAAAATTCCATTTGTGCCCTTCCTAATGCTTTAGAGCAATGATTCTCAAAGTTTAGCATACATCCTTTGACCTGCAGGGCTGGTTGACACACAGATTGCTGGGCCCCATCCCCAGCGCTTCTAATTCAGCAGATCTGGGGCAGGGCCTGAGAATCTGCAGTTCTGATGAGTTCGCAGGTAGTGCTTTGGGCAGCACTACTTTAGTAGTAATTCATGGTCAACAGAGCTGCCAGTGGGAGTTTTCATGAAGGTTGAGCATCAAATGCACTTGGGGTCCAATAGGGAATCAAAGAATGTATTTAACCCTCAAGTTAACATTGATGGAAGAATCAAACTAAAACTATTGAGGTCAACTTGGAACCCTCCACTTCAGAGTAATCGAAAACACTGGGAGCATAAGGGGAATTTTGTGACAAAATCCAAACCTTTCTCTTGACCACAGCTTGAGGTTCTTCAGGTTTCATGGGTGGTTAAGCTGGAGTCAAGCCTGGGTTCACATCCTACTTGTTGTGTGACCTTTAGCAGTTTATAAACATCTCTTTACTCTGATTTCCTTATTCATAAAAGAGTAATAATGAAAAAAAAAAAGAGTAATAATGACCTCTTCCCCTTGAGGTATTTGTGAAACTGAAATGAAAAATGCACATAAAGCACATAGGTCATCATAAACAGTAATGGGTAGTTATTATAATTTTTGTAATGGGATGTTCACTGGCCTATCTCAAGGAAAAGACTTTTTTTTTTTCATTTCAGCATATTATGGGGGTACAGATGTTTAGGTTATGTATGTTAGGGGGCCTTGCGCCCCCTCCCCCCCTAAGTCCGAGTTTCAAATATGTCCATTCTTCGGGTGGTGCGCATTGCACTCTTTGTGTATGCAAATACCCGTCCCCTCCTCCCTCCTCCCCCCTCCCCCCTGCCCCTCCCCCCATCCTCTCCCCCTGCCCAACATCCAATACATGTTATTCTTATGTGTGCACTTATGTGTTGATCAGTTAATACCAATTTGATGGTGAGTACATGTGGTGCTTGTCTTTCCATTCTTCTACTTTCCTCCATTCATGACCCCAAAATGTGACTAATCTCAGGAAAAGGCTCCATATTTTCCCAACCTAGAGCAGGAGAGAAGAGGCTGCTTTTCCAGTCAAATAGACCTTTGGAGATTTGTTCTTTCCTCTTCTGAAAAGAAAGATGAGAGAAATTAGCACTGAAAACTGTTTAATTGCCAGAGCATTGGGAAATAGCCTCCATTTGGAGGAAGGCCTTGCCTCTCCACCTGGGATCTATTAAATATTTGGGCTTTTCCACATATTCAGGCTTGTGTCGTTCCCCAGGCATGATTCCCGCCTCAGGGAAATCAGCGTTCTCCTCTTCCACTTCCCTCAAACCCCCTAGAAAAGGACAGCATCATCGAAGGGCTCCAGTTTGATCCTGTTTCCTGGGTTCCATATGCCATCGGGATCAACCCCAGCAGCTCTGCCACCCCTCAGACTGGGTCTGGTATCCAGTGAGACATCATAGCAGATTTATTTAACCTGCTGGAGTCTGGAAATTCTCCCTGGCTCACAACCCAAGGTCAGCTTGTTTCGGTATTAGTTTGAGATCTGCTGCCTTGGGTCTGATTCTTGGGTCTTTCCAGGGCAGAGTTCAGGGCCTGATTCTGGTTCCTTAGTTTTGTTCAGACAGTTTAGCTCTTGTGCATCTGAGATTTCTCCATCGTTGAGTAAAATTGTCACACTGAACTCACCAGCTGGAGCCATGACCATTTCCTGAACAGTTCTGGCATCTTCAGTGCGCGAGGAGGAGATGGTATTTACCAAGCAAAGCCCTATTCTGTTAGAGATACGACAGCCCATGAGTCAGAGCAGAGCCTGCCTAGGATTCATTGCTAGGATGGTGCCATGCCTTCAGCTGACGGTCCACAATCAATTAACTACCTGCTGATGGAGACAAGGATGACATATATTTACTTTGCAATAAGTACAGTATATTGGGTCCTTTTCGAGAGTGTCATTTGGGTATCTAAAATTTAAGATTTAACAACTTCCCATTGTACAGGGCCTACGTTTTATAGCAGAAGATTATTCTGAAGTCAGCAAATTTAAAAAAGAAAAAAGCAATTGCAGGGAAATACAGAATGTTACTGGGATACCAAAGAATGATGTTTAACTGCCTGGCGGTGGTCGTAACTGTGTGCTTATTTTAGTTGGTTGCAGGCCATTAAAAGTCATGTTGTCTGGTCACATTTACACGTCTGCTTTGAGGCAAATAGGACTATTCATTCCCAGGAGTGAAATGTCTGTATTACATAGACTAGAAGATTGGAGTGATAAATCGCTCTTTTTTTTCCCCCGGAGATTGTAGGTTCCCATTTTAAAAGCCGTGCACATGATTTAGAATGTGTAAAACAATGCTTTGGGGATTTGGTATAGTTTCTTGAATGAACTGGGGCTTTGTGAATTATCTTTTTCTCCTCGAACCATAAGGTAGAAAAACTTCCTTTTAATTAAATACCATTTTTAACCACCGCATTCTGATTGAGGGGAGCATGCTGGGTATGGTCCTCAGGAAAGAAAACAAAGGAAATGAGAGTACAGGAAATGTTAGGAGTGTGACCTTGAGGGCAAAGAAGGCCCAACAAGCAAAGCCAGCCATCATAAATCAGAGCAGATGAAGCATGGCTTCAGCAAGCATTCGCTGTGTATCTGCTCAATAATAAGGAAAGCTTTTCCTGCCAAAGGCCAATGATCCAAGACCTCTCGCCGGACCTCCAGATTCGCCTGCCTACCTGCTGCGCCCAGCAGTGGATGGAGCACAGCAGCTCCCCCCTCCCTCCCACAAACCTGCTGCTTAGAGTGAATGATGTCACCCTCTGCCCAGGCGCCAAGCCAGCCAGGGAGGGCTTCTACCTCCTGGCCAAATGCATTTGATGTTCAATTCCTACTCATTCTCTTTGAGTAGGAATTTGCCTAGAATCTACCGTATCCATCCCCACCTTCATCTCACACCTGGATTGTTGTAGAAGAAGATCCCACCTGCTCTCTCTGTTCCAGTCTTGCCCCTGCTTCCTATCCAGTATGAGTGGAGAGTACGCTAAGGTAACTCTGCAGTGTTCTGGGTTTCATCTGAACTTTGGAATCAGACAGAATGGATTCACTTCCCTGCTCCTCTACTTTCTAACAATAGGGTCTATTGCCTAAATTTCTGTTTTCTCATCTTGAAAACATGGATAATAAGACCTGCCCTTATAGGATGGATGTGATTAGATAACAATATCTCATACACCACAGGAACTTAATAATGTTAGTTCCAATCATTTATTTTTTCATACTCCAAAAGTAAATAGTAGATGCTTCCTTTTCAGAATTAGGAAATGAGGGGGAGAGAAAAGAGAGAGTGAGGCAGCACAGATTCACTGAACGTTTAAGAATAAAAAGTGTGGCCACCCCTTGACCTGGGTCTAAGTCCTAAACAAGCCATTTTCCAGCCTGTGTGGCCCCCATAATTCCTGGAAAAGTTACCCAAGCCATTCAAGCCTCTGTCCTGGCTTATAAAGGAGACAATCATTGTGCCTGACTTAAGTCTGCTCAAAATTCTCCAATGGCTTTCCATTGGGTACAGTCAAGAACATTTGCTGGGGATTCCAGGACCCACACAGTCTCATCCCTGGTGACCTCGCTGACCCATCCACACTGGCCTGCTCTCTGCCCCATCCTCCTGTCCACCAGCACTGCCACATCCAACACATACACATACACATACACTTACACACTCTTTCAGTTAACTATTATTCATCCACTAGATCTCAGCTCAGATTTCATTTCCTTGATGCAGCCTTTCCTGTTACCACCTGTCTGGGTTAGATTTCTCTGTTACATACTTTCATGACACCATATTTCCTTCGTTCAAAACACTTATCTCAACTTGTATTTATGTATTTGTATACTTGCTTGGTTAATCTCTCTCTCTCTCCTGTAAACTCCATGAGAACAACTCTGTAATTATTAACCTTTATATGTCTAGAGCATGGGTCGGTCCTTGAAACATAGTGGATAATAAATATCTGATGAATGAATGAGTATTGTGGAGATGAAATGAACTAATGCTGTGCCTGGCATGTACAATTAGTGGGCAAATCAAGTCCACGATAAAATAATGAAAACTAGTTGGGCACAGGAGCTCACACCTATAATCCTAGAACCTTGGGAGGTCAAGTTGGGAGGATTGCTTGAGATAAGGAGTTTGAGACCAGCCTGAGCAATAGTGAGACCCCATCTCTATAAAAAATAGAAAAATTAGCCAAGTGTGGTGGCATGCCTATAGTCCCAGCTACTCAGGAGGCTGAGGCAGGAGGATCGCTTGAACCCAGGAGTTTGAGGTTGCTGTGAGCTATGATGATGCCACTGCACTCCAGCCTGGGCAACTGAATGAGACCCTGTCTCAAAAAAAAAAAAGCAAAAATTGAAACTATAAATGAGAAAGCGAACCAAGCTGGCGGGCGGGGGCGGGGGCTGTCAGTCAGGGCCTGTTTCCTGGAGGAGATGGGCCTTGAGCCCATGATGAATACTATTTGTCAAGAGAAATTGTAGAAGGGGAGACCAAAAGTAGCTGTGATCCCACTTGCAAATAACAAAGGGGTTAAGGCAACTTGGAGGAACCCCTGCCAGCCTTTACTGAAGCACTCACAGCTGGGGGAAGGAGGAACCTCAGCGAGGCAGAGCTGGTTGCTGCCCCTTATTCTTAGGGCAGTGACTACTCTTCTTGGAAGTGCTAGATCCTATCGTTACTCTCCAAACCCTGCATAAAGGCAGAGACTTCACACAGTCTGCCTTGCTACAGTTTCAGTACAAAATAAACTTCTCCATAAATTCATTTGCTATTGTCCACCCACACCTCTGGAGCTGATGCAGATCATGATGATTCTTTGTCTTTCCACC